GGTATGACGTCAGCAAGACGTCACATCTCGTCTCGTAGTATCCCTGATGATGCGTACTCGCTGGTCGTCTGTCGTCGAAAAGTAGTCTAAAGAGCCAAAACGTTTCTCTCATTATACCCGCTCAGATTTGCCAATAATTTAGTTTAGCTTAGCTTCTTAAGGGGTCCTAAAACCATTCATTTTATGATGTAGTCAAGTTAATATATTATGTTGATTAATGTAATATTACCAGTCACTTTTTTATGTAAAAGATTATATCATGTTTTGTGTGGTTTTGAAAATGAACTTAAACTTGAAATTGAATAGGGCCTACTCGTTAAATTTAAATAACCTTTCCGAAATAAACCTAAAGGGTGGTCAAAATATTATTTTTAGTCGTAATTTAACTTACTTATAGGAATGAATAACTTTCAGAAAAGTATTGAAAACGTAAAGCTTTCCCCTTCAACTGTAAAACAATGGTACGATTTCGCAGACTAGGAGGCAATTGAATTTCCCTCTTTGTTTATAGAGAACGCAGCAAGCCTGCATGCCCGCTACCCCAGCGAATCCACTTCAAACGCTTGCTCAAATATACTCGCTTTATTTGTTATTGGAATGTCTTAGTCAAATAAAATTGAATTCTAAACCGTCTCATCGAATTTCAGGTAGGGGTTACTGAACACGACGCAAGAGAACAGCTGAAATTTAGCGCGCTCGGTTATCCTACACTTGATGACGGTATGCGGACAAGGGCGTCGAACTTGGGTAGCAGTTGGGGTACCCCCCAAAAAAAAATGGTTAAAGAGATATTAAAATGAATACAACAAATATATACAATTGATAAAACGCGGATAAGTATTACATTTTCAACCCCCAGTTTTATCTAAAAAACAGACTGGATTCCTTTAAGTGTTGATACTTTCAATTAACATATTCCCCCCAAATGCAAAAATAAGGTTAATGCCCCGGCCCACCCTCCATTTTACAACATCAAAACCAGGTTTTGCAGCTGTGGGGATGAATTTGAACTCTATAATGATATCATTACGAGTTATTAGATTTTGACCAGTCGGAAAACATCCGTCCATTATGATTTGCGTGGATGATATCTCATCTCTCACTATATACATGTAACTTAAACTTCTTGCGATTCTTTAACGAATTCATATCGGAGAGGGGCGTTGAAAAAAAAATCCAGTTCTAAATTGGCTAATTAAAAAAAAAAAATTAGAGAGAAAAAGATAAAACATTCAAATGTCCTAAGTTTTGTTTGTTATTGAATTTAATTTGCAGACATAGATCGACTTTAATTTCGTTTTGCTAACTTGAAATTGAGAATTGAAAGCAGATCATTGGAATGGGCTCAGGAAAGGGCATCACCACCCCCCCCCCCATAACGAAATTAACGCCCGTTTTGTGAATGAAGGAACCAACACAGCGATCAAGAATTCAACATAGGAAGAAAAAAACGCATGGTATTAGGGAATGATGACGATTTGAACGGGGAAAAAAATCCACAAAGTCGATGCACTTTTTGGTTGATGACGACATAGTGACATCAGCGGCACTCAAATTAAAACAGAGCGATGTTGACTGAGTAAGCGGTGCAGTCATTGAAGTTACACGGCTAGGTGGAAAGAGCTACGCATATAAGCCAACTAGTCATTGCTAGACGAGCTAGGATACAGAACGAACTGCATGGTACGATTGTGAAGCTTGTAAGACTTATACAGGTAATTCTTAGTAATTGCCTTTCAGCGCAGTCGCACACCTTAAGGTAATATTAATAATTTTTGAGTGGAAATTAAAGAGTTTGATAATGTATAAATATCACAAATATGTTACATACTTATACAGAGATTAAGGCAACCAGGAAAATAATCGATCTCAAAAACAAACGTTACAGAAAATATTGCCACTCTCCCACTTTCACAATGTTAAAAGATGAGTAGTGGCGTATCACGTGTCCAATATTTGAGAGGGTACTGTCGTTGAGGGGGGGGGGGGCACCAGTCCTCGTATGTGTGTGAATGTGTGTGTGTGTGTATTGGGTTTTTACAGACGTGTATCAATCAGATATGATTATTTACGTCTGGGACCGACCTTTAAACGTCACCATCCGAAAGACGTGACTCAGTTTCGAACCTGCGTCCTCGGCTGAATCAGTTTGTAACTTCCACTTTTTAGCTGGATTACAGGCGCACGCCACAACGCCTAGTTGAGGAAAGGGGGTTTAAAAAAAGATAATCGGCCTAGTGAAATACAAAAGAACAGTAGCCTTCCCTCCAGTTTCTTTCTGTTTTTTTCTCTCCCCCTCTATCCCTTTTTTGTTCTCCGATTATCTTTTTTTAAACCCCCTTTCCTCAAATGAAATGTTATTTTATTCCCCTGCCTTGAGTAACACTATTGTACAGTTTCAAGGGCCGGGATGGACTAGTCTCAAGCTCTTTATTGATTAGTTACCTATTTCTGATCAATCGCACTAACAATAACGAAATCAAATAAAAGCTTGTGGTTGGCATACGCCATATGACGGTGATCATAGTGATGACATTTATTTTAAAATACTCTATTAATGTAGGTACGTATGAAATTACACCGTTACTAGTTTCCCTAAATAAATGTTGATCATGAATATTCTTAAACTTAGCTAACAAAGTAAGGTAGGCTTACCTTTAATCCTTAACTTTCCTTTTCTAGGATGTCAGTAACATTCCCCACATCTTATAACGAGGAAAACCCCAATCCTGATTGGGTGATAAGCACATTCTCATAACGGAAGACTGAAAAGACATTTGATATAAGCTACAGAAGTATAATAATGGGAGCGAGCGATCTTTGGGGTAAATTGTTCTTAGTCGCTTGAAATTAGGGCAGGGTTTAGTCACGAGAGGAGAAGGGGACGCTTATCAGAAAAGAAAAGGAGCACATGTCTAAGATTAATAATCAGAGATGAGAATAGGGCACTTCTTACACCTTCAAAAAGAGGTACGCACCAGGGATGAAAAGGGGCATTTATGAGAATGGGAAATCGGCATTTGCCGACGAAAGGGGTCTCCATCAGATTTTGATAGGGGCATTTAAAAAGTTGTATTTATAAAAATTAAGGTACATTAAGGAAAAGGGGCACATGTCATTGTTAAAAGGGAAATTATCAGAGGTGAAAAGGGGCACTTATCGCACCTAAAAAGGGGGCAATAACCAGATATGGAAAGGGTCCCTTATGAGAATGAAAAAGGGGCACTTATAATAAAGGAAAATGTGCACTAGTTGACAGAAAAGGGGCACCGATCAGATTCTAATAGGGGCATTTATCGGAGGTGAAGGGGGCACTTATCAATGAAAGTGAAAAGGAGTAACTTCTCGTAACTGAAAAGTGTCATTTACCAGAGCAGAGATAAAAAGGAGCATTTATGAGAAGGGAAAGGGGCTCTTTTTTAATGGGGGCACTCATTAGAAAGGAAAAGGGGCACATGTCAAATAAAAAGAGACACCTCTCAAATTTGAATGGGGCAATTATCAGAGATGAAGGGGGCACTTATCAAAATTCAAAAGGGGCACTTACTAGAGATTAAAAAGGGCACTTACGAGAATGGAGTATGGACACTTACTGCAAAGGAAAACGGGACCTTATCAGAGGTTAAAAGGGGAGGGGCACTTCTTACAAAGATAAAGGGGCACTTTTCGGGAACTTGCATGCCGAAGACAAATTGGGAGGAATGGTAGTACATAGGACACGTTGAAACGTTCTTGTTGAAGACACATTGGGAGGGATGGTAGTACATAGGACAAGTTGAAACGTTCTTGTTGAAGACACATTGGCCCGAATTCACAAAGCAAGGTTTGAGCTCAGACCAAGGTTTGAGCTCAAACCTCCTTTTGTTTCGCCAAACCTCTTTTTGTTCTTTACAAACCAGGTTTGTAAAAAACGCGTAAAACGCGTCATATGACGTACGAAAACCAAGGTTTGTTGACAAACCTCCTTTGTGAATTCTGGCCATTGGGAGGGATGGTAGTACATAGAACAATTTGAAACGTTCTTGTTGAAGACACATTGGGAGGAATGGTAGTACATAGGACAATTTGAAACGTTCTTGTTGAAGACAAATTGGGAGGAACGGTAGTACATGGGACAAGTTGAAACGTTCCTGTTGAAGACACATTGGAAGGGATGGTAGTACATGGGACAAGTTGAAACGTTCTTGTTGAAGACACATTGGGAGGGATGGTAGTACATGGGACAAGTTGAAACGTTCTTGTTGAAGACACATTGGAAGGGATGGTAGTACATAGGACAAGTTGAAACGTTCTTGTTGAAGATTGTTGAAGACAAATTGGAAGGGATGGTAGTACGTAGGACAAGTTGAAACGTTCTTGTTGAAGATTGTTGAAGACAAATTGGAAGGGATGGTAGTACATAGGACAAGTTGAAACGCTCTTGTTGAAGATTGTTGAAGACAAATTGGAAGGGATGGTAGTACATAGGACAAGTTGAAACGCTCTTGTTGAAGATTGTTGAAGACAAATTGGGAGGGATGGTAGTACATAGGATATGATGAAACGTTCTTGTTGAAGATTGTTGAAGACAAATTGGGAGGGATGGTAGTACATAGGTTAAGTTGAATCCCTCTTGGCCGATGACCTCGGTAGAGACGTCACGTTGCTGAAGATGACAGTTTCATCCAAGGCCAGCACTCTCTCTGGTATCGCCATCATCCTCCAGCTCCAAGCGTTGTCATCACTTATCATCACCAGCTGGTTCGGTCATCAGTTAAGACAACACAAGCCAACACACATCAAGTAGCATAAAACTACTTGGAGAGAGTTAATCATTTGGTTCTTTCTTGGAGATTTTTTTTTTTTTTTTTTTTTTAAATTCCTCATAAGGAATTTTTCTTCTTCTTCTTTTGAGAACTCTGCACATATTTTCAATCTTTGATTTGTAACTGGCATTTAATCTCTTTTTTCTTCTCTTTTCTTTTTTAAAAATGTCCACCAAAATTATCATGCCAGTTTAATATATTTTCATATTTTTTCTTTTAATTTCAGAGAGTATTCTTTTCAGATTTTAAAGGTTTTCATAGACGTTCACAATCAAACGTTCCATCTTTTTTTAGCTTCTTCAATTGAAAACATAATCGTATATTTTCTTTTATGCTAGAGTTCTCTCAATCATATTCTTTTCAAACAAACTAATGTCATACATTTCAATAGATCTTACAAAAGTAGTACATGTACATAATAATAATAACATGCAATAGTCCATAAAAGTGCATGAGAAATGACTTGAGCCTAGATCCATGTGCCTTAATAATTTTGCATATAACATTTCCATTCATTTTTTTTATAGAACCAATCAAAAGCAGTATCATAAAAAGCGCATCCATAAAAAAGTGGCAGAATCATCCAATCTCAAGCCATTTCCCTATAAAGCGTCCATTATCAAATTCATAATCAATTATGAGAAAATGATAAATTCATAAGACAAGCATTACAAGTGGATTCAGGGATTGTGATAGTGTCTCAATGTTACCTTTCGTGTGAATTATACCATAAGCCAAAATAGCCTTGGGAAACAAATACTTTTTTTTGTTGTCCAATATTTTTACTCCATACAGAGTTGTCAAAAAGACTTCCCATCAAAAATCCATCTTGAAGTGCCTTAAAACAATAATCTACAATGCTCAAAAGTAATATACAAAAAACTATAATATCCTCCATCATATGGAGCAAACAGAAATAACAGAGAAAACAAACTGTTTCTTAAGCTTTTCAAAAATAACATTTCTTAAATTTTTTACACAAAATTAAGTTTTTAAAATAGGAGAGAGTGCACCGCAACATGACATTAATATCCTCATTATCTCACTGTAGCTTATGGATAGGTGTGAAACACTGCTTTTAACATATAACAGCTAAAATGACATCAAACTGCTATGCGTTATTCCAGATGTGTAGAAAGTGATCACTAAAGGCTTGTTCAGGTACGATGTGGCAAAACCACTATATTTTTTTTGTTGGTGATGTAAAGTGTGATACGTTTCACATCTCTGTATCTTATAACACAGAGATCATTAAATACAAGCAGGACCTTTGCTGCTCGCAGTTGCCATTAATTTACGCTTTAAAAAACGTAGCAGCTTTTTTTGCGGCGGTTTAACAAGCCATATCTGAACGAGCCTTTAGTCTCACAGACAAAAATGTTATATGTAGAATGTCTTCAAGGTTATCTGCTCATAATCTGTATCCTTTCCTTATACAAAATTGCAAGATTGTATATTGTCATGACAGACAAAATCAGCCACATAAGAAAGTGATGTGTGTAAAAATTCATCAAAGTGGTAAGAAAAATACAGCATAACTCACAGAAAGTATCAATCTTGAATCGGTTCTCTATAGCTTCAGCGACTGATGAGAAATATTACAAAAACATGTCTACAGTCTTGATTCTTGATGGGGAGGTATAGGAGGAAAATTCATTGTCATAGGTTTGAATGTGTATTGCACGAGGCATTGAAAGCCACACAATTTTGAGGATGTGACATCTTGAGGATCTGACCCCAATGCTGTGTTCATTGGGACACCATATAATTCAATATTTCCCTCACGTCTTAGAAAAGGCTGAATGTAACAAATTATTGCCTTTAAATGAGTTATGCTTTTACACTTTATAAAATTGACAATATACACTGCTTGTTATTTCAGAAAGGTGTAATCACTGTTTGAAATTTCTGAGGCATTGAAAAGTTTTCCAAGACATCAGTAAACGCAATGGATATTGGAATAAGAAAATCAAACACTTTGACTACAATTTAAGTTAGTTACCGATATTGATTTCTTAAACATGAAGACATTAAGAAACTCATGTTATGTTTCTGCTATCAGTATCAATGCGTGTATGACGGAAGTGAAAGTGAGATAAAAACTTTTAAAGTAAAATGTTGACATCAATATGTGAGAAAAAATAGTAAGACTATAGATTTCACTGGATCGAATATGGACAAACTGAACCTCAATGAAACACAAGGCTCAATAGAAAATATCACCTGCCTAGAGCCAGATGGATGTTAACTCATTTCTTTAACACAGACTGAATGCCTTTCTGGCTCTCCACTGAAGAAGTATCAAAGAGTCTTATAAACTTTGTATGAATGTACCCTTTTCTTGTCAGCTATGAAGTATACTTGTCTATATTTCATTTGTTATTGCAGCATCATTACAGAATATATAACCTATGGTGCCTTTGAACAGTTCATCTAATAACAAGGAAGAAGACTCTCTGAGACAAATTTGCATATAATTCATCTTCTGTTTTCCCATCGATCCAGATAAAGCTCATAGACTAGAGCAGTCAACCTACTTCTAAAAATAGGAGCCGTATTTTGGCATGATTAACATTTCAGAGCTGTCTATGTTCAAATATCTTGATTATTTTTTGGGGAAAGATTAGGAAATACCTCCAGGGTCTTCTTTCGAACAGATGACAAAAAGTGGAGCAAGGTATCTAGACCAAATTAGATCCAAGAAATTCAACAGCGTCTATGTGCCTTTTTCAAGCAAGGCATTGGCTTCATAATGTACAATGTTCAATATTTGCACTCTGAATTTGTATTGAAATTTTTTGTAGCGTCTTTCGCTTCGTCATCGCTTCCATGATCGTCCTTCCTCGTCGTCCTCTTCCTCCTCGTCATCGACCAGGAGCAGATCATCCTCCAGCTCCTCTTCCATCTCCTCCTCCTGTTGGTTGAGGGAAATAAGAATAAAGCATATAATCAAGAGGAAATCGTTTATAGAGGATTAAGATAATTGGTTTGATGGCAATGATATAATGGTGACCAATCACGATGGAACAGACTTCTCCAGGATGTCAATAATAATAATAATAATAATAATATTGGATATTTATATAGCACACAGATCCACCATGCATGGTACTCAAGGCCAATACTATCAACACTTTGTGTCAAGGATCTGGCGACAGGAGTGACAGCCCATCCTCACCAACGAACAGAATATTTTTCTAAATTCTGTTTGTTTCTATATTTATTCACCCTCAACTAGATAATTCAATTAATTATCAAGAAAATAATAAATTACTGCAAACACCAAACTTCTTTCAAAGTGAGAGAGTAACCAGCTTGCTGATTGTAGTTGCTCATAAGGAAGAAGAGGAAGAATCAAAGAATAATATGATGGGTATCTTAACATAACTTTGACATTCCAAACTTATCAATGTGAAAGGCATGTATCCCTGAAGGGCATACTGATTCAAATCAAGGTTTACGCCTAAACTAATTGGGTCATGCGAGTTGGGTAGGGTAGAGAGATGGACAGTTTGAAAGGGAGATAGAGAGAGAGAGGGAGATAGAGAGAGAGAGGGGGAAGAGAAACGTGAAGTGGAAAGGCAGATAAAGAGGAAAGGAGAGAGTGAGATGATGATGATGATGTGTTGTGTGCTTGTACCTCTTCATCTGCCAGTTCTTCTCCTACATCCATGGTGTCTTCCACCATCTCAGCTACAGGGTCTTGCTGCTTGTGCCAGGCTAGACTCAGAGAATCACCCTTGAACTGGTTACCTTTAGCTACAGCCTAATAGAAGGAAGAAGAAAACAACAAACTTTGTGGTAACCTTGCAATGTGTACAAGATTGGACATGTTTTCATGACCCCACCCCTTCCCAAGTTTTACAGTTCTCTTTAATCATAATAATAATATTCTGCTTTTATATAACGCCCAATACATCGATACAACGATGTGTCTAAGTGCTTTACAGATATATTACTACCCGGTCATTACGCGCACACTTACAAAGGCCAAGAGCATTTGTGACATTGTGTCAGCAAGTAAGTGGATAATTTATGGACTTTGTGCGAGGGTAAACTTGGTCTTGGGCTTTTTTTCCCTGTAACCATTCCCAAATTAACAGCTAAGATTCATGTTTTTTTCCGAATACTGACACGGGTGAAATTCTATAAAGGTAAACGTGTAAATAAAAAGATAAAGAGAGAAATATCTTCAGAATAATAGAATACAATAAAATTCAGAAAACAAGAAATATATATATATTTACTGAAGTGTATTTGTTTTTAATCTTCCTTCCAACATAAAAAACAAATATTTAATAATTTGCATGTACTGAATATCAAAACCAGTAGTATTCTGTACAAAATGTTGGTGATTGGAGCAACAAAATTCTCTGCAGTTGGTTCATCTATGACCAAGCTTGGGCCAAGCCATCAAGGGATTGAATTACTTTGGGGGAACCACCCATGCTACAAAGTCTTACCATCTCTGCTTCTTGTCGCGTCTTGAATTCCAGGACATAGGTTGCAGAATCTTCGTTGTATTCAACACTGTCAATTTCACCAAAATTCTGAAAGTAGTAATAAGTGCAACAAAAAATAGGTGGTTAGTCAATCCACTCTACATGAGAACAAACACATTAAAAAAATAACGAAGAAATTAAAGAAACAAATCTAAAAAAATAAAATAAAATAAAAATAAAGAGATGTTCACACACAATTTCTCCAAAAAATAGAAATGGAACAGAATAAGCATGTATTAATGGTGCTCGCGGAAGCATCTCCCTTAAACATATATGTATATGCTGTGAGATTTGCACAGAAATAACGCAACAACTCGCCTGGACTTGGTTTGACAATTAACAAACTTCCACCTGTACCTGCACAAAAGATGAGATAATTTTCAGAACAATACCCCGAACAACTTCACTCACAGTAAAATGGACCAGTACTTCATCCTTATCCCCAGGTGCAAAGCCTCCTACCACCAGGCCTCTCGGTCGCTTGTCCACCACCAGGTTTGTGTTGGAGCTCCGCCTCCTGGCTGCCATGAAGCCCCGCCCACGACCCCGTCCACGACCTCGGATCGACCTTGGGTGGCCACGCCCCCTGCTGCTGCCTACAGTGTTGTCCAACAGGCCTAGAGCTTGGGCCTGGATGGAAAAAATGTTTTAAAAAAAATCATGGTAAACTGATAAAGCTTTGCTCAAAGAAGACATTAACAAAAATTTATTTCACAATGATGGTAAGTCTGCATGGCCTGCGGTCCTGAAAAGCGCTATATAAGAACGACCTACATGTATTATTATTATTATTATCTCACACAAGATTTTCAAACGGTGAATAGGTTTCTATGACTATCAAATAGTATCAAGCAGTAACGTTTGCTTTACGTCCAATTAAATCATTGGAACAAACTATCACCTGGGCCCTGCTTCTTAAAATTGTGATCGATAACACGTCAAAATAACTGTTGTAAGCTACTTAAATCATGGCATTTGATCAATTTAGCCCTCAAAAATAAATCCTGCCTTGAAATGGTTAATTTAGACAGTGCCATCCATATCTTTGTCTTTGTTCTTGTGTGACAAAATCATCATCAAGAAGTCTTACCTCTCTCCTCAGCTCATCCACTCTCTTCCTTAGGTCAGAGGTGTCCCCTCCCTCAGACTGCTGATTATACAGGTCCAATTCGGTGTCTAATAGCTCCCTCTCAGCCTGGCAGGAGAGACAAAACAAACAATGCCAGGGCCCCGTATTACAAAGAGTTGATATCAATCGCAATTATGTACATAAGAGATAGGAGACTTCAAACTTGCAATTGATTGGAGGACTTGCGATTGATTTGGATGAATCGTTACTCTTTGTAAGACGGGACCCAGATGTATGGAAAAGGACGTGATAGGAACGCCATTAAAATCTATGCAACTTCCTCATCCGAGGTTTGCAGAAAAATGGAATTATAGCAGAGAGGGACTGAACAATATGTGCTGTAAAATAAAATTAATTGGAACTGAATCAACTGTAGTTGAAGTCTGGCAGCATAGTAACAGATTTTTGGTGTATGAATATAATTAGCATATCATTATTACTCATGAACAATATTGGTTTAAAAGAAAATGTACTATTCATTGCATCAGTGAACAACCCTGCTCAAGAATAAAATCATGTGATATATTTTTTTTAAATCCACTTCTCAGCACATGGCCAACAATTTGGGTGAATCCTAGGTAATTTCTCCCCCTCCACACTTTACTGACTACTGCAATGATTTCAGTGTACCCCTGTGCGATTGTATGACATTGATAATTCTACAAGAGTGTGGAACAGACCAAATAGCAAGAGCAATTTATATTTTGGGTGATAATAATGTTCATTAGGCTATTTCTTTAGAATCAAATGGGAGACAAAATGAACAGACACAGAGTTAAACGCAAAATTTTCAGATCTCTTTTCATTATCTATAATATTTCAATCCTGACCCACCTGTGCAAAAATGCAGGGCCGAGGGACATCTTAAACTTGCTTAGTTATGTTCCATGAGACTTGTGCCAAAAAGCAAAGAACCTTACACATCTCCTGGTCTCACCTGTTTCTTATCTTTAGTCTTTGGCTTGGCATCCGTGAGTTCCTTCTTGGTCTTCTCAATGTTCTCAGACAGCATCTTGATGGATTTCATGATTTCGGCTCTCTTCAAGGTCGTCATGGTGGACTTGCCTTGCTCTAACTTGGTTATGAGCATCTGATTAGATGAAGAATACAAAAGTGTAACAAGTTTAACATTTTAGCCCTCTTTGATATCATTGATGTGGCCTCGCTATTGACAATACATAGCTCTTTTGAAATGGACAATGAAATGGACTGAAAGTTTATATTCTTTGTTTTGAAAAATCAGCATAGAAATCATCTTACACAACTGCAAATTGACATGCAGGTAATGAAACAGAATAAAATCACGATTTACTATATGCACTTTATCATCTCATACTATTTCTGCAGTTTGACTGTTCTAAAGTTAACTCTTTTTAGATTTGAATTGACCTTTTGAACTTTGAGCACTGTGGCAGGCTTAATTTGAACCTGCTCATCCATTCATTGTAAATTGCATTCCTCCTTGTTTACAAATTCTGGCCTAAGAGATAACTCCCTTGTTGATTTCATCCTGTAATCTACACCTTGAAAAGCTTAAAATTTTCTCCGCACCTGACTCTTGTAAATTTCGTGCAAGTATTTCCTGTGTAATGTACAACCTGTCAAAGAAAATGTACTTGACAGGATACATGACCTACATCCCTCTCTCTCTCTCTCTCACTGACTAGAGTTCATTGACACACTACTAGAGTAAACCTGACCCTTCATTTCATTGCATATCGAGGGTTCAGTGACACAAAGACGTAACTCCATATCTTGCCAAAATAAGTATTTAATTTCAAAATGTTCAGAAAAATGTGGGCTTTTCAGGAAACACAAAGACTTAACCCCACCCAACACCCCATTGAAGTCAATGGCTAGTGAAACATAGACTTAACTCGTTAAGGCCCACATGCTCAGTGACACATCGACCACTTTTTCCCAAAATGGAGTTATGTCTTTGTGTCACTGAGTGACCCCTAGATGTTTTCAACAGTCCTGCCAAGGGTCATTTTGATTCTTTCGTCAAGACCAAATTTTGTATCATTTCTTTCCTGACTGGTATCGCACAAACCAATCTCTGGAAAAACATACATCTCACAACCATTGTTCATTCTGGATGTTGAATATTCATTGGATATGGTATGCTGTAAAGACAGCAGTGTATGCCATATTAGTCACAGGGCACATTATATACCTTTTATTTATCATTATTTGTTTGAATACTACTGCCAGTGACTGAGGTTGCCAGGGGGTGTAAGATAGGAAAAAAAAAAGGTACAATAGAAAGAAAGAAGGAACAATATAGGGGGGGGGGGGGATAACATTATTTCCCCCTCCCCTAAAAATCACCAGTAACATGCTCATCTGAAAATGCATCCTATGTCTTTCTTCCTTTTTAAGGAACCCCCCCCCCCCCCTGCGGGGTGTTTCACAAAGACTAAGATAGACTTTAAGTTGGACTTAACTATGGCAGGCCTTTCATGCCACCGTTTGCTCTCCACCATTTACTGACATTGACCTCTCAAGAGACTTACAAATCATGGTCACAAATCTACATTTTTTATTCATTATTGAAGGAAAAATTATTATCTAAAGATCATATTGGTGAGAGCAATCAGTGGCATGAACGGCCTGCCATGGTTAAGTCCAACTTGAAGTCAATCTTATTCTTTGTGAAACACCCCCCTGGAGGATTTCTTTTCTGCTCTCACCTTCTGTTGCTGGATGAATCCATTCATCAGCTCCTGCTTCTGCTTGAAGATCTCCGTCTGCTTCTTGGCGACCAGTTTCTTGGCCTCCTCCTGCTTCTTCCTCACCGCCTCCTGGGCGGCGGCCAGCTTCTTGGCCACGGTGGCCGAGGTGTGGGCCGCGGCCGCCTTCTTGGCATTGGCCAGGTTGTTCTGGACGGTGACCAGTCGCTGGTTGATGGCCACGGCCTTAGGATTCATGATGGTCTTGGTCAAGGTGGAGTTGCCGCCGGGTTGGATGACCACCTGGAAGGGAGAGATGGGAGATTGGTGTGGACTGGTTTGAGATGACATTGCTTTGGATTGGAATGTGGTCATGTGCGATTCTTTTACAGTTTCATCCAAAATTGAAAAAAAATATATCAATGGATGATATTGAGTTTACTAATTACAACTGAAGTGTTTATGAATTTGTTTTCACTATGTCAAAGGAAACTGAATTTTGAATGAAGGAAAAAATATTGCATGCGTTTACTTATTGTACATGTACCTTATACAATTCAATTACTGATTTACATATTTTGTACATAAATTTCAACTACTTCACCTACAAAATAATGTACCCTTGTTCTTGACAAGCAGCCTGTGTGGAATGCACAGACACAAGTTGATTTACAAGGGAGAGTGTCATTTATTCTAGCAGTGTATTGAACACAGTGGAACTCAGTATCAGTAGATCAGAGAACCACTTCTGTGTTTGCTGCCGGCTTGCTTTAGCGCTGTAAGCAGGTGAATTGTAATTTCACTTGAAGTTATATACTAAGACAAAGGTGTGATGGCTCAGTGACAGAGCAGTGGTCTTGTAACCGGGAGGTCCCGGGACCGAAACCAAATTGATGCGCTAGTGCCCTTTGTTAAGGAATTAATTCTCATTACCAAGTCCCTCGGAGACGACTTAAAGCCGTCGATCCCCTGGTTGCTTACTTACAAGCATACACATGCTTTCTCAGTAGTCAGGCCAAACAAACAAACAGAGAAACAATTATTCATAAAAGAGAAAAGAAAGTGATACAAAATAGAGAACTAGTACGGCAGAGAGGGGAAAGAGAAGTCAAAACAAAACAATGAGAAGGATGAATTGAGAGAAAATAAAAGAAAGCAGAGTCAAATCCTCCCACAGAAAGTTGGAAAAAATATGTTAAGATGATAGAGAAATTGAAGACTTATAAGGAAAGGTGATAAAGATATACACATTACTGGTGAAAAGAAAGGGGGAAAGGAAAGAACATGAAAAAAATATAATAAGACAGATGAAGGAGATGGTGAAATAAAGAAACAAAGAAAGCAAGAAGAGAGAGGCAAATAATTAAAATCGTGAGACAGAGAATGAGGAGTGAGAGAGAGAGAGAGAGAGAGAGAGAGAGAGAGAAGAAGGGAGGGAAACACCCCTTACCTTATCTGAAGGAGTTGCATGATTTCTAACGACAGTCAGCTGCTTTTTGGTAGGTAATTGTATTCTTTGCTTTGCAGGTTTTCTGGTGTGATGGTTTGGCTCGTCTTCTCCTGTTGTGTTCTGTAAAGCAACCATGGAGTATAGTACAAAAATAAAAAATAAAAAAATAAAAAAAGAGAGACTTTTCTAGTCTTAGTGGTAATCATTTAAGTTCAGGCCCTGTTTCATAAAACTTGCTACCAATAACAAATGCTAAATTTCTATGGCAAATTTGCTCTCAGCCAATCAAATACCTTAATTGCACTGAACCATATTACCGCATAGTCCCGTATATGCCTATCTACGTCTATCTACGTCTGCCAACATCACAATTCTGTTTTGATGACCTAGCGGAAACTCATCGATTATCACAAATTTTCGTCACACGTCTATGAGTTCTGTTTGGTAATAACATCATCTTGAATCTACTATATCCATGCTTGGAATAATTTATTCCTTGGGATACAGAAGTCTTATAAATCAGGACCAATATGACACCCAGTGTTTCTACGAATAAATGCAAAGGAAATCCAGGTACTGACACTTTCATTTACAAGCTGCCAAAAGGAATAACAATTCCAAGCATTAGTTTTGCTATCAATCTTATTTGCCGCTCAGGTTTGCCTGGCAGTGACAATGATATTGATAATGAAATTGTTGAGAACAATCTCGTGAGAATATACCCCAATCTGAACCGTTCAATTTGCCACCATTTTATTCTGTTACACAATGAGGGTGTACATGATGCCAATAATGACACAAACGGGAATAGTGACTGTACAAAGAACTTCGTTCGTAGAAGCTGCTTGATATGTAAAAAGGAGCTGATTAATTGCAATACCAAGGATATCTTGTGTGATAATTGCACAGATCTACCAAATAAAGTCAAATCATTGGAAGCTTCTGTCCTTGACATCGTTACAAGGTTGAACGACCAATATTGTGACCATATATCAATTGACGAGTCCTTAATAGGATCTACTGTCGAGAGTCCCAACAAAGGGAATAATAGACCTGTGTCTCCTGAAGTTAGCGAGACGATTCAAACAGTCGCTGACTTAGAGCGCCACGAACAAAACGTTATTAATCCCTCTCTACAGGAACAGTTCGACGAATACAAAACTAAACAAAAGCAACTGCACGCCCTGACAAAATCCAATCAAACCAATGTGATTGAGAATGCCCCTATTAACACTGACATTCAAACCACAAGGGATTCCATGACAAGAGAGAACGAAACATCACATGATGGAAACCCCGTTTCCATGAATGAGCGGAATCAGAAATCTATGCAAACACAAAGACCGATGAAAGCGGATGTGCTGATAATTGGGGACTCTATGACGAAACAAATCAGACCATCCAAACTTTCTCGAAGCAAAAACATTATCTGCAGAACTCTGAATGGAGCGAAAATTGAGGATGCACACAATGATGTATGTAAGTTCGCTAATGAGTATGAAGTAAGCGAAGTTGTCGTACATCTCGGCACAAATAACTTGCAATGCGATGAATCAGATGTAATAATTGCTAAAACAATCTCACTTCTTGAACAAGTCCATACAATTCCTGGGGTCAAGACCATTGCTACTTCAACTATCATCCATAGACTGAATGAAACGAATCAAGAATATACCAAAGTTTCAGAGGTGAACGCAGCCATCAAACTTTCAGCCAATCAACGAAGTTGGCTCGTCATCGATAATGACAATATCGACCCTGGCCTTCATCTCAACGCAGATGGCGTACATCTCAATCGGACGGGGACGATCACGTTTGCACAAAATATCATTCACTTTCTGCGGCGATCATCTAGACCAACATCGATGGACTCGCAATACAAGTCTCTGCAATCCTATGATGTTGATTTTCCACCCCTGAATGATAACAGAATTCCACAGAACGGAGGAGATGATGGATTGACATCAACCCAATTTAGCTATCCAACGTGGACGCCCCAGCAAGACGCACAGAAGAACGAGCCTCCACCTTTTCCGTGGCACAGCTACAGCTACTCGAAATCTCGACGGAAACCAGAAAACAGAGTGTTCCCAAAAGATTGGATGGACAGTCTTACAACAGCCAGGAATCTCCTGAACAATCGTTACCACTAAATGCCACTACTTGTGACAATATCACCTTTACTTCTAAAAACAGTCTCAATCCAACTGGCTCACAAACTGATGTAAATTGGGCCCACACCTGTAAGTACTTCGGAACTCAAGATAAATTATTCAGCTGCCTTCCTAAAACAGGTTTAAAAATATGTCACATTAATATAAATTCAATTGTACCAAAGTTATCTGAACTTAAAATTGTACTTCAACATAATCCTTTCCATGTTGTTGCTGTCTCTGAAACCAAATGCGATGCTACCATATCTGATTCTGAATTAGACATTGAAAATTACAATATTTTCCGCAAAGACCGCAACCGGCATGGAGGGGGTGTGGCTCTGTACGTGAAAGATGACGTAAGTTGCCGGTTTGAAAATAATATTACATGCGACGATATTGAAGCCCTGTGGGTAAAACTATCGCCAAAACATTCAGAAACACTTCTTATATGTGTTATCTACAGACCTCCAGATTCGTCGTCAAGTTACTTTGATTTATTGAACGGAATGTTAAGTCAAGCTGTCACCAATACAGATGTGGAAATGATATTACTTGGAGACTTAAATTGTGATATGTGTCCAAATAACATAGACTCTCTATCACGATCTCTCGAAGAGATAATGTCTGGTTTTCTTTTCGATCAACTGATTGATGTTCCAACACGAGTGACGACAACGTCGCAAACTATTATTGATCTTATATATTCCACTGACGTAGAAAATCACTCCTTGAATGGAGTGCTAAAAACATCATTTAGTGATCATTATATGATTTTCACCGTTTACGGTGATGCTGATATTACTCAAAAAGAAAATATCATAGAATGGAGAGATTTTAAGGGTTTTGAGTTTGCAGAATTCAATTTTTTACTTTCCCAAGTGCATTTTGAAGAATTATATCAGTGTAAGGATGTTAACTGTGCATGGGATATATGGTACAACCCGATAATGGAAATTGTAAATATGTGTGCACCATACAAAAGAAAACGTCTAAGAAATAATCCATGTCCTTGGGTGACAGGTGACGTCATTAAATTGATGAACACGAGGGACTACCTTCGTGATAAAGCAATACAGCTCTCGTCATCAGATTTTTGGGAACAATATAAAAAATGCAGAAATCTTATCACACGCGAACTCAAAAATCTTAAAAAATCATACATTACTTCATTATTGAACGACAAATCAGGAAACGCAAATGCGTTATGGGATGTTATGCGACGTCTTACTAAGAAAAAACAGTCTAAAAATATAATATTGAATGTAAACGATGTTGAAATATCAGACTTGAAGGAGGTTGTCGAATATTTTAATACGTATTTTGTTGACTCCGTTTCTGAACTCACTAAAGGTTTTGAGCTCGAGACCGAAACAATTAAGAGATGTGAATCACTTGAAGAAAATCTGGAAAAACAAACAAACGGTGATTTACTTTACTTTTCAAATATCTCGATAGATTTCGTCATCAAACAGATAAAATCATATACTTGCAAAAAAGCAACTGGGTATGATGAAATCTCTGTTAAAATACTGAAATATATCTGTGATATTCCTCATGTAATGGAAAGTTTAGTATATATACTCAATTTGTCTTTGCATTCTTCAGTATACCCTGATGCTTGGAAGATAGCCCGAGTCCAACCAATTCCCAAAGGAGGGGATACAGCCATAATGAAAAACTACAGACCCGTGTCTATATTGCCGATTTTATCTAAAATAATTGAAAGGGCAGTTTATTTAAATATCTTTGAATATCTGTCTCAGCATAATCTATTTTATAAGAACCAATTTGGATTTCGTCCTAAGCACTCATGTGAAACAGCCCTATTGTGCATGGTTAACCAGTGGTCAGTCAATGTAGACAAAGGGTATTTAAATGGTGTAGCTTTTATAGATCTCCGACGTGCATTCGATACAGTCAATCACTCTCTCCTCTTAAATAGATTACATCAATATGGTTGCTCTCCGCATGTAATTAAATGGTTTGAATCATACTTGAAAAATCGCCAACAATTTGTCTCATTAGGGAAAGAAAAATCAACATTTAGAAATATAACAATGGGAGTTCCACAAGGGTCCATCCTGGCCCCGCTCCTTTTTACTCTATTCGTTAATGACCTCCCATGTTCCATCTCAAATGGCATTGTTTATATGTATGCGGATGATACTACTATTTCTGTATGTGGAAAAACTAAGCAAGAGGTAGAACTCAAACTGACAAAAGCTCTTGGTGAACTGAATTCTTGGCTGAATAAAAATAAGTTGATTTTGAATAGTGATAAAACCAAAACGATGCTGCTAGGATCAAAGCAAAAGCTTAGATCATTAGATAACAGTATGCTGTCGATTGAATTAAATAGATGCCAATTGGAATGTGTATATACATATAAATGTTTGGGAGTTATAATTGATAACAGTCTTGACTTTAAAAAACATATCGAAAGTATTGCTTTAACTGTGAAACAGAAATTAGGAACTATTCGTCGATGTAAACATTATTTTGATAAAGCACAATTGAACAAACTGTACTGGGCTTTTGTAGTGCCCCATTTAATGTACTGTTGTACCGTTTGGTCTGGGAGATCTGAAGCAAACCATAGTAAACTGGAAAGATTACATAAGAGGGCAGCATATATGATATCTCGTTTTTCCTGGGAAACCCCATCTGAACAAGTGTTTGAAATTCTATCCTGGCCGAAAGTAGATCATCTGTTTTTTAGAGCATCTTGTTGCATGATTCATAAATGCTTACATAAAGCTGCACCTGAAGTACTAGGTGATAAGTTTATTTATATTGAAGCGATATCATCTCGAACAACAAGGAGCACAAATAAGATGCTAATTAGGATGCCACATGTTCGTACGACCTTTTATCAGAAGTCATTTCTTGTCACAGGTCCATCAAACTGGAATAAATTACCCGAACGTATTCGATTTATAAAAAATATGAAACCATTTAAACAAGAATTGGCAAAATGGCAAAAGACATCCACATTTTAATATGATTATGGTATGATATAACTCTTCTTTTTCTCCTCTTTTTATATATTTTATCATATCTTCTTCTTGTTTTCTCTTGTTGGTTTGTTATTGTGGTTGTATGTTGCTGTTGTTTTTTTGTTTTTTGTTTTTTGTTATTTGTTGTTTTTGTTTTAATAACTTTTTACTGTTTGCTTCAATAGGATATATGGCATTTACATATTTGTATCATATACATTTTACTAATTTCGTTATTCTCTATGTTCAAATCCTTTTATATAACCTGGTTTGCAATTTTAGTTTGTTAAAATCGTATTTTGTAACTTTCTATATTTATTTATATTTTTATATTTGTATCATATACATTTTAATCATTTCGTTATTCTTTATAATCAAATCCTTATTTATAACCTGGTTTGCAATTTTTTTTTTGTTAAAATCGAATTTTGTAATTTTCTATATTTATTTATATTTTGATATGTTGATGAAATGTATATACTTGTTTGTGTCATGAAGGGCCTCAACGAAAACCAGTATTTGTTTGCTGATTGGGCTACCCTTCTTTTTAAAGATGTGTTATAAATAAATAAATAAATAAATAAATAAAATACCATGATTTCCGTAGCTTCAAAACATATATTGTAACTTGTAATCACTTATTGGTTTATTTATTCATTTGTTTCATTTAAAGTGGCACGTTCCCGCCAGTGTAGTTATCGCTGCTCTAGTCATCGCCATCTTGGTTCCGAAGATCGACTTCTAATTTGCATACAGCTGTCAATCAAACTGTACGCACGGCCTGGCCTGCCTTCGCCAAGCCAGCTGATCGCTGACGATCGCGACGTCACGAAAGTGGGCGGAAACAGCAGCCGAATCTTAGAGCCGAACTGCGATTGGCATTACTTCGGCACATGTATGCGATAATCGGTATTGTCCGGGCATTCTGAACATGCCATCTGCGTAAGAGCCGTATTCTGTTGGTGTCAATAGGCAGCTAGCACCGTCCGCCAGCGGGTACGTATTTTGAACGCCCTCTGGAATACGGGGTTAAACAGGGTAACTCTCTCAGTATGACAACTGTTTTTCTGAGAGGCCCTGTACAAATTATAGATTACATATACAGAGGAATTGAACAATATTTAAATACATACACATACATAATGGTGGCCAATAGGATGCGAAGTGCATTACACTCATCTTGCCCTAGCAATTTACTGTGGCATATGGCAATGACATTTTACTCTAGTTATTAATCTGGCTATAGTGCTGATAACCTTGTAAATGCAAAATTATTATAATAATAAAAACGTTGCTTATAAAGCGCTTACCATCACGGTCTCTAAGTGCTATAACAAACAAAATAAACTGATAAACAATTACATATTAAACAAAAGATAAAAGTGCAAATAAACCTACAAATTACAATACATATGAAATGCACATCAATGTGAACAGAGTAAGTTAATCATCAAATGCAAGTTTGAATAAATGTGTCTTAAGACAAGTTGTCTTGAAAATGTTAGCATACCTCGGGAGGGACATGCCAGAAGACCTTGACAAAGCGGTTGTTGAAGACGGCCTCTGTGGACTGATAGGCCTTCTTGGCCTCCAGATGAGTTGTGAAGGTGACCAACGCTGCCTCCAGGTCCTGGGCATAGGCAACCTGCCACAATGGAAATGAATGTAGAAAAGTTTTAGATTGCAGGGTTTAAAGATAAAGTTAAGTTCTTGTCATGCAATTGCATTGTGAAAGAAACAGTGTGGAATTGACTAGAAACGGTTGATCATCTAGCATATAAGTATAGGTGTGTACTGCAAGGTTCTGGAATAATCAAAACGATAAAAAATTTGGCCCTGTCTTGGTAAAGTTAAAAGCACTGTACACAAAAAAGATGTATATGGGATTACACAAACATGTTGCATAAAAATCTGTCCCGATTTTTATGATGTTACATGCCATGTTTAGAATATTAAGGCATTTGAAGAGCTATGCTTTTCAGGGAACATTTTTTATCTGATGTTCTTCCACACTTGCATAATAACAATGACAACGCTCACAAATTTTTTTTCACCTCTACCCAGAACTCATCCTTCTCTTTAACACAAGCAGGGATCTGGGAGGCATGGGCCACAACATTTGAACTCTGGACGCCCTAAATTTAACATTTATTCAAGATGCATAGAGACCATAAAGGTTATAAGCCCCTCGTGACAAACAAAAATATTGTGGAGCCCTGTTTTAAAAGAGGAACCTGGGACAAGCATAGGCTACTTTGATTCATACACACATTTAAAAAACTTCACATTTTGTTTTACAGGATTGGAAGACAGATTTGACTTGTGAAGTGCTGCATAAAACACATAAAGGTACATCTGGGCCCTGTCTTACAAAGAGTTGCGATTGATCCAAATCAATCGTAAGTCCTCCAATCAATCGCAAGTTTGCAGTCTTCTATCTCTTATGTACATAGTTACGATTGATATCAATCGCAAATAAGTTACGATTGATATCAACTCTTTGTAAGACGGGGCCCTGATGAATTAATTAGGACTGGCTATTCCTTCTTAACCTGCCCCCCTTGAAATCATATACATGAAATGCGTGAATATGTGTGTAATGGGTATTAAGTACAAAATAATGTACCCCTGTTCTTGACAAGCAGACTGTGTGGACTGCACAGACACAAGTTGATTTACAAGGGAGTATGTCATTTAATCTAGCAGTCTATTGAACACAGTAGAACTCAGTAGATCAGAGAACCACTTTTGTGTTTGCTGCTTGCATGCTTTGCGCTGTGAACTTGTTCCCCCTTTCTCTTTCTATTTATAAATCAAACTGTTAATCGAAATTCTGTATATAAATATTCTATACCACTCTATGATGAAAACAAAACTCTTAACAATGCTACTTTACAGACACAAAATAAACAAATTGAAGAGAATTTTTTTTATTCAAATGAAAGAACGGCAAAATCTACGAAGGGCTTGATGATTTCTTTTGATGGTATGGACCAATTACAGAAAGCACTGTAATGTCAATCGTCACACTCACCTGAAGATTGACGATATTGCCAAACTTGCTGAAGTGCTCGTTGAGCTTGGTGATGTTGTTGAACTCCCTGGGTATCTTGCGCACCTCCAGGATCCTGTTGTTTGGCACAAATCTTCCTTTCCCCTTCCCGCCTATCCTGGCCCTGAGATCCACCGCACCGCCGCCGCCCCCACCGTGGTTGTAGGGCCGCTTTTGAGGGGGGTACCCTAAGCCCAAGGGCCTGTCGTTGCTCTTGATGACTGCACGTCTCTGCTCCTCTTGCACACCGAGACCGAGACCGTCTTGGCCCTTGGTGAGGTCAACAACCTTCCTTTCGCTTTGGTTGTCATCAGAGGAGGAGTCCTTTGTCAGGGCACCTATTTCTTCCATTTCTGTGTGGGTGAGAAGATAGAAATGACAGGTATAATACAAAAGTCTTTGGGCCTTTTAACTCTCTCTGTAAATCAAGACCAATACATCAAATATCAAATTGTAAAGACAGAGAGCTTGCCTATAAAATCAACTGCATATAGAATGTTTTGTTAGGTAGGGCAAGCCAAAATCTTTGTCGTACCTGGCGACAAAAAATGTACGTAATTTACATTCTGACTATTGAGATGCAATGATTTATAAAAGGTGAATTAAAAAATTTGTTTTGATGCTCTGTGTGTAATGGATTTTAAGTACATGTACATAGTAATCACTTTATTTGGAAATGCCACCTCCGAAATAATGTACCCTTGTTCTTGACAAGCAGACTGTGTGGAATGCACAGACACAAGTTGATTTACAAGGGAGAGTGTCATTTAATCTAGCAGTCTATTGAACACAGTAGAACTCGGTAGATCAGAGAACCACTTTTGTGTTTGCTGCCGGCTTGTATGCGGAGCGCTGTGAACTTTTTCCCCTCTTTCTATTTATAAATCAAACTGTTAATCAACATTATGGAGAAGATAATGGTAATTTTACTTGAAGTTATATATAAAGACAACCCTTCATAAATCAAAAAAATGAAGTGATACAGAATAGAGAACTAGTACCGATAAGATAGAGAGGGAAAAGAGAAATAAAAACAAAACAAAACAGTACATACCCCCTCCCCCCAACAAAACAAAAGACAAACTAGATGGACATTCGACTGCGACTGCACGCAGTCGAAAATGATGCTTCCGCAACAAAGCGATTTTATAAAACCAAAACAGAAGCAATTTTTCAAATTTGATTGTAATCCATCGACAGGTTCTCAGAATATTGTGATTACAAGCTATGTTTGCATACATAATAAGCCCTGTGACCTTTGACTCCAAAATCTAATCAGTTCAATAGCTCTGCAAATTGTACGCAATTCATATTTTGACTATTGAGATGCAATGATTTATAAAAGGTGAATCAAATAATTTTTATCAAGGCACTTCACAAAGCTGTATTCATTAAATTTTATTACATTATGAAAAATAGCATATTCTACAGCTTCTTAACGATGAATTACCTTCTCTGGTTGTTGTAGGGACCGTCTGTATGCCCACAAGGGTCCTGAGGTTGGACGAGGCCTGCCGAGGGGCACGGCCACCTCCAAAATATTGCCTGCCCCCCTGGGCCTCCATGCTGGGATCTTCCGGGTTGTAGCCTTCCATTTGGAAATCTGACAGAAAGGATGATAATAGTAGTTGTGAAATAGGTGTATAATCATTATAAAGCAGTGAGCGGTATAAACATTTGAATGATATGAAGAGTTTAATTCCAGAAGGACCTAAATCCATTTTTGTAACTTCGGAGAAAAAAGAAGTTGTTTACCAGATTTTGTACAGGCGTCTATTGAAAAGTGATATTAGAAGGTGCATTTTTTCATAATTGCTCCTGAAATTTAGATAGATAATTTTGTTTAAAGACGGGTTGTTAAAACAATGTTCTGATATGAATAAGCCAATTTTCATCAAAAGTGGATTTAGCTTCTATTGGAATTAAGTGCTTCATATACAGTTTTGTAAGATTTCTTCAGACACAAATGCTAATATCTATCGGGAGCAGGTTATAAAAATTGGTCCTAAAATAATGCCAAAATTGATTAAACTTATCATTGCATAACTGTCACAAAGTTCAATATTATGTTATCCAAGCCATATCACATTTATAAAGACAAAAATATTTTGATATAAGTTCTGTACCCTTGTTCTTGACAAGCAGACTGTGTGGAATGCACAGACACAAGTTGATTTACAAGGGAGTGTGTCATTTAATCTAGCAGTCTATTGAACACAGTAGAACTCGGTAGGTCAGAGAACCACTTTTGTGTTTGCTGCTGGCTTGTATTTCTACTGTTACATTAAACAAATTTTAACTGAATTTTCCATGAATGAATTCCTAAAATAATAAATGGAAAGTTGAACTGAATTATTCTTGAAAACCTGTGAGTATAAAAAAAAAGGTGATTTAGCGAGTGAATTAATATTTCTTTGATTTAATTTTGACATTACTTTAGTGTAATAGGTTTGTTTTCAACTCCTCCAGATTCAGTATAACTAGAGCCCTACATATCAGCTGCCATTTTGTTTTTAAGCCCCTCCCTCCCCCCCCCCCCCAAAAAAAAAAAATCCTGAAATCAACAAAGAATAATGGTGACGGCAAATGTTCTTATTCCTTGAATAACCTTATAACACCTTCCTTATAACTTAACCATTTTTCATAAGTTGATCTTAAAATATAAGCAATAGTTTTGCCGGACGGTGCTAACCTTGTGATGAGCCGTAAGGTTTTGTTTCTGACGGTGGCGGAGGAGGACTCGACTCTCTGGGAGGTGAAGACGGAGGTTGAGGCACTGCAAGATTGAGGGAGAAAGAGAAATGATGATACTAATAATACAGTCAAACTTGTCTATGGCGACCTCCCAAGAGAAACACAAAAAGTGGTCCTTGTAGACAGGTTACTTTCGTACATGTTTCAATGAAAAAACCATTTTCAAGGAAAACAAAAAAAATGTGGTCTTTGAAGACAGGTGGTCACTAAAGCAGGTTTGACTGTAATAATGATAATAGTATGCCTTGTTTACCCAGGGCAGCCTCATTGGTATTCATACTGTTCTTCCCGAGGGCCATGCATTCATATCATATGACGATTGAAACCCACACTGTACACACGTGTGCATTCAGGCAAATCGTGCACACAATGCCAACCAAGCGAAACTATAACTTGAATGTAAGTCCAATAAATGCATGGCTTCACATCATATGGAATAGAGACATGCAATTATGCCTATGTGTTATGCGCTATACAAATTATTTTCATTATTATTTGTATTAACTTTCATCATTATTATTATGACCACATTCTTGATGTTCCATAGTAAGTGAAATCATCTTTTTCTTCTTTTAAATATTCCACCTGAAAAGGGTCTGATCTACCTTTCTGAACAAACATACATTTTTGACTGGGGCTCTTGGAGCGACCTTTATAATGATATTTAACCCAACAAATATGTAACCATTGTTAAATATTGTAACCATGATGAATGCATAATGTTTCTTAATTATCTACCTACCACAACTGCAATGAAGGTTAAATGTGTACTAAAATTAGAAAATCATAGGAACGATAACATGAAGAACTTTTATTACGCATCTGTGTTGGTAATAGCACTTTAAAAATAATAGCAGACCTTTGACAAAGTGTTAGAAAAAGTATCGTAAAACTCAAAATGGTGACCAAACGAATACAAGTAGATTTTGATGGTAACTAACCTGATGGTGGCATATTAGCATCTGGAGCTGGAGGTAGTGGAGGAGGGGGTCTATTCATCTGAAGAGGCATGGGTGGAAGGGGCGGCGGTGGCCCTGAGGTTGGGGGTGGTGGTAGCCTCATGTGTGGTGGTAGGCCTGGAGGGGGACCAGGGGGTGGTCCGTTGTGCCTCGGCGGTCCATGCATCCTCCCAGGAGGGGGATGCATGGGTGGTGGAGGCGGCAGGGGCATCCCTGGCGTGGGCACGAAACCGGGCGGGGGCATGCCGAAGGGTGGTAGGAGGGGCGGAGGGGGCTGGGAAGGGGGTAAGGGGGGTAGAGGAGGCTGTGGGGCAGGGGGTAGAGAAGGCACTGGTGGTCTACTAGCATCCATGTTTGGAGGCGGTCTGAACATGTCTATATCCTCCACAACTACTGGGTCATTGCCATGATCGTATGGACAAAATTCTCCTTTCATGCAAAATCCCTTTTCTGTAAAGTGAATAGATGTTAGAGAGAAAACATATCAATGCATTTTAATAAGTCAGCAAAGAAGATCAATAGATTAAAATTTACTAAATACTCTTAATATGTTGGGCTTATAGTTTTGCTGATACACAGCATTATGAGAAAGTGATAAAGGATTTTAAATGGTTTTTTACTGCTCATAATCATGTCTTGCAGGTTCATGTACTATTAACCATTTCAATGCCATGGGTTGCAAATCAAGCCTGTGACTTAATCAATGTATGCAATGTTTGAGTGGGATACTATTAGCAAAATACACAAGTTCACTACATATCGCCAAAGTTGATGTAGTTGAAAGGAACCAGACATAAAACACAAACTGATTCACAAACAGTTTCCCAATAATTGCTTTTTCCTTAATACACTTTAGAGGTACAGTTCACATCAATTACTACTGTCACGTTTCCCTTTCTACTAAACCCCCACTTCACATACCATCGTAATCTCTACATCTCTGTCGTATCCTCTGCAGAGGTTGTTGTTGTTTTTGTTGTTGTTCTCCCTGCTTGGGCGGGCCCTGCGAGGATTCAGGCCCATCGTTTGAGACTACTGTGATCACACTGCTGATTGCCATTGGCTTAGAGTTATTTTCTTTCAATCGATCGTCACGCTCACGCTCGAGGTCTCTGTCACGGATTCTGCCACGATCGTCGAATCTGCCGGGATCTAAAAGCATGGGAGTGTTTCGGGATAAGCAGTTGGCCAGTACACCCTAACATCATTAGGCACACTTTTACATCAAAAATTAGCAAGTCTATTTTGTATATTTTTCACACAGAATATTTCATCAGAAGAGAGGAATCTATGGTTCAAACAACACCTTAGAGGTAACAAAATAGGAATCATTCCTCAATAATAGGAATGGTTGGCAGCTATACTTAGGGCCATAGAAAATAATAACAACAATTGGATTTATGTAGGCCCGTTTCTATGGATATATGGTGCCGTTTCTTGGTCAATAAACATATCATTAAGAATGGTACATGTATGAGGAAATGAGCTACAGATTGCTCATGGCCTGTCAACCTGAAACATATCATTTTTTTCCTTCACACTATTAGTAATGACCCCCAAATCATTATCATATTGTGTGCAAAAAAATGTGCTTTTAATAGTTGTTTTTTCACTGAAATCATATTCATCAGCGGTTGTTTTGATAGCATACAATAACACAGACCTTGGGCTCGGTAACATTGACTTTTATCCGTACAATGTCATGTGAACATCGCAATTACAAACCTGCTTTTTGGAAAGCACTATGAATCATGCTTGCAGAGTTTCATGACACAAAGTAATGGCATTAATAACAACAATATTTGAAATTTTAGAGCAAAGGAATGGGACAAGTTCCTGGGGGTATTTCACAAAGATCCAAAGTCAAACTTAAAGGTAAAGACCAGTATTGGAAACGCCCAAATTTCAAAAAATGAAATGGAAGCTCTCATTACCAATCATGTGAAAGAATATGTTTTGACCAATACATGATGATAAAAAATTTGCCAGGAAACTGCCTACTAATTCATATATTTGGTAAATTTGTTTCTCCCATGGTCTGTGAGAGATATAAGGTAGTCCCATATACATCTTTCTGTGTATAGTGCTTGTAACTTTACGAAGAATGGGCCAAATTTCTTATCATTTTGATGATTCCAGAACCTTACAGATGCTAGATGCTAGACGATCAACCTTTTATGATCGATTCCACAACGTTTCTTTCACAATGCAATCGCATGACCATAACTGGTCTTTACCTTTAACTCTAAGTTGTAACTAAAAATTATGGATAGCCGTTTATAGCCTTAAAATAAAATATATTCAAAAGCAAAAGCATTTTAGACTTTCACAAATTCCACATCAAGAAAATGATATCTCCTTGATAATAGAAAATATGAATGATTTGTTATCAACAGCATATGCCTTTTAAAATAACTTTTACAAAATATTTTCATAGATGCTAATGGCTTTCCATAATTGTTAAGTCCAACTTAGAGATAAGTTCAACTTAGGTTCTTTGTAGAACACTCCCCTGGTATCTCTACTTCACATGAATCTCTTTCGAGCACTCCCTACCTCTTCCATCACGACCCCTCATCCGATCCCTTTCCCTGTCCCGATCTCTGAAGTCTCTATTATCCCTGTTGCGATCCCTGTCCCTGTCCCTGTCTCTGTCTCGATCTCCGTACCGACGAGGGCCACCGAAGCGATCCGGTCGGTCATCTCTCCTCCTCCGGTCTTCATCTCTTCTCCTTCTCCTGCCAAGACAATGGAGAGGTAAAGGTACATAGTGAACAGAGCATGCTGGAGAAGAATTCCCCATCCCTTTTCGATTTAAAGTGAATCAGTAACATTGCCTCAGATTCTGAAACAAAATCTTGCATTTAGCTCATGCTGCAATCAGAATTATAAACCTTTAGGTCAGTCAGGAATCCCATGACTTTTATGAGCCGATCGCCTGTCTGATTGTCAAGATATTACTAATTGGAAATTGAAAATTACATTTTTTGTTTTCCTAACGGTTTTTATAACACTAGTTTATTGGGGAAAATGAGACCGGTCACTCAAAGATTTTTACTTTTTTTGAGGCACTTCATGATCATTTTGAAGCACAATATTTTTAGGGCTTCAATATTACACCATATCACAGACACTGATAAAACGTAGGGCCATGTATCTCAGATTGAACATTGTTAAACGATGCCTTTAAGAAGTGCCCAGAACATCAGCTTTTGTCAAATAAATTCCTTTAATACAGAGTCCAGTTTCCGAAAGGACAGGAAACATCATGAAACTGGGCCGGTATTAAATTCAATACTCTGTTTATTTAAAACTTTTACTTAGCATTTGGCTTTACTACAAAGTAAGTAAAATTTCTGAACTCGTATTCAGTTCACGTTTAAGCAATGTATTTGCGAGCACACTTTACGGCAAAATACCTGCTGATAAGCATTGTGACATCACACTGTTAATCATTAAATGTGCGCTAATATAATTGTGCGCAGATTATGATAACTGCGTATGAAAACCATTACGCCTGTCAATCAATACTCCCAAAATATTTGGCTTAAGATACAAATTCTAGCGTAAACAATTGAGAGAGTAGCATATGTGGCTGGAGCAGGTAATGTTGCTATACCTGGCAGTACCATTAAGGGTAGATTTGATCATACAAGTACCTTGGACTGAAGCTCCTGCTCCTGCTCCTGTTCCTGGGTGAATGGCTCTTTGACTTGCTCCTGGAATGTGACCTGGAGTGTCTCCGGCCGCTCCGCCGATGATCCCGCTGCTCATCATTCTCTCCAGTCTAAAGATGATGAAAGATGGCATACAAAATTGTTGATGTAATGCACAAATCGCATCCCAAAGCTTTTCAATCTTACATACTCCATGGAAACTACATTATCTATGCATGTAATGCATCTTTTCATGGAAACTACATTATCTACGCATTTCTTCAAGTGATACTGATAATTTTTGTGTTTGTATGCCTTCTCGAGATTAAGGGACCTTTTGTTTGTTGCGACTCTTGAGGTTACAGAATATTCCCCCGGATTTATAAGCATCCTTCTATAGATGTAATAATAAGCAGGAATGCCAGTACGAATTGATCAGAGGGCCTGAAATTACCTAGAAAGAGCTATTTTGTACACATAATTGCCTGAACTCAGGCAATTGCCTGAAAATTGGCATCCCGGAATACATGTAAGTTAATTTTGAACATTTTGGTTGACATTTTTGCCTCTCTCCACCGTCGTTCGTTTGCCACACATGCAATTCTGCATAAAATAACAGGCAAAAATAATGCTTTGTGCAACACACTATATTTGCAAAATTACCCACTTCCAGCCTTGATTAGCTCCATGACAACCCTTGCAATACTAGCAAGATTCATTGTGCACAGGAAACAGTTTAAGTAATGTCGAGGGCTTTGGTTTATATATATATATACGCCATGACAACTAAAATGTGGCACAGGGAGATTATTTGTGTGGCATCTAAGGAGTTAAAGGTCTGCAGCATATTAAATTTCTCACCACATCTCTATTTGAGCTCCTCGACCTGACCTCTTCTTTGGTTGATGTTTCAGCACTGGTCGGTAAATCGGCACCACCAGGAGCCAACGCTGCGGGCTGTGGTGGCGGCGGATCTTGCTTGCCGCCCTCTACTGCTGTAATATTGGCACTTCCCCCTGGAATGTAAGACTTTGTGGCAAGAGCGACAAAAAGGTTGTCGACAAAGGACTGCGTTTCTGCAAATAAAAGAGGTGAAACAAAAAGTGGAAGGCATGAAATAACATCTTATTTGATAACTGCTCACATAAATCAATGATCCTTTTTTCAGAGAGGTAAAGATGACCATCAGAGTAGATGAATTTCAAGACATCATACCGTAATCAAATGGTATGATTAAGTGACACTATTGGTGCTCCAACATTAGTGATACAAAGGTTTAGCTTACCTCCACTGGCTACCAATATTCTAGCATAAAGGCATGGTAAAAAAGGCTGTCAGGTTTGCAGTTATTTTGAGAAGTTCATTGAAGATTTGAGGCCTGTATTAATCTTACAGTGTATATTATTTTGAGAGACTTTTCCACAGCCACTCTCAAACGAAGCAAGGACCATCTTCTCACCACATCTATATCGTAAACTTACATGTAACAAGCCCTTGAGCACAGTTACCAGTTATTATGATTTCACATGTCTTTTCTTTCAAAGAGAACAAATAACACTACAGGTATTTACTCTTAGACAGACGACAAACTTACCATTTACAAGAAAGACTCCAAGTTGATCGATGCATGTAGCCCTGAGCTCCTCGTTAGTTTTATCCTTTTTGGTTAGGGCCACCACATACTTGGCCAAGGCATTAGGGTCGGCATCACAACTGTTGGAGAGGAAAATTGTAAGGATATTTCTTTCATTACAAATTTACAATTGTTAACTCTAATTCCATGTGTACTAGAGGGCACAGGTCTGCAGCTAGGTTTCAAGGCCTATCTGACACCCAGTAGTAGGGTGTCTGAACGATTTTTCAATTTTCAATTTGGGATCGTTTTTCACCATTTTTGTTGGATATTTGAATAAAAAATGTAATCAGAATAATACATTTCAAATTTCAAGACTCACCAATGTTTCCATCAAAAGATACAGCCCCTCAAAAACTCTGCAATATTCATAGCATTTTGGTCAGAATGGACAAAAAAGTGGTTCACTTCGAGTTATCATTTTTTGCTCAACAGCTGCATTCTTATGCAATAGGCTATATGCAAAAAGTGGGGGAAGGGTATTTTCAAACTTAAATCCTACGTGATCCCTTGGGGCTATCCAAAAAAAAAGAACACCAACGTATTCCTTACGACTTAACTAATTACCCCTCGGGGGTTCGATTCTCAAAAGTTGGAAATCTCCCGAGTTGCCATGGAAACGCATTTAAATCGCTGTTTTGACCAAGATATTTTTAGAAATTTGAAATGACCCCCCTTTGGAAATATGGGAATTAATCTGCCCTTTCATATGACACCTCATTTATTGAGTACCACCTTCAGGATCACAACAGATTAAGGTTTGTATCTAAATTTATTTTTAAAAACTTGACCAATTTTGCAATGCACATAGACTCTATAGGGATGTGTGCAATGTCAATGGGAAGGGTTTTAGCACACAAAACGTGGTGCGCGATCAGACACCCTACCAGTACTAGTAGGCCTACACACGCTTTGCGTATATAAATCAGTGATAGATCCGATTCTGCAGAGTGACAGTGTCCGTGTGCAAGAGACAAATGCTTTAAAACATAATTATTCAAAGAAAAATGCAAGTTGCAACATCGCTTAAAACATTCAATGCAAGACAAAGAAAGATGTTTTCTATGATAGACAAGAATATTCAGAATCAATCGCACATTACTTTACTTTACTTTACTTTAATACACGATGTTGTAGGTCTAAGCCTGTTCATCGATCCAGGATTCTTCCGTGATTACTGCTATTTATTGTCTGGTCATTTTTGGTCATTGTCTGGTCATTTGTCACATTGTCTGGTCACATTGTCTGGTCATTTTTCATTTTATTGATCAACATCATGTAACCGAGTCTAGCATCTTCTTAAAAAATGAAAAATTCACAGCCATTTTTCATCAGGCATTGATATTTATCATCATGATTAAATCAACATTCAAATGTCAATTGTCATGAAGACATGATCACGAGTGAGTGACATCGACAATAATGACAATGACAATAACTTGTCATTATTTTATTCAATCCATTCAAGTCTCAAGAGAATAAAATAAATCAATACTCACATTGGTTCCAATTTCTTTGCCAGCCATGCCATCAAGTCTTCCACATTATCAATAACAGGCATTGTTTTCTTTCTCTGTTCGAAAGCGATTTCTGTATCACCTGCAACAGTGCATGCATGCACTCATCAGTCTCGATCTCCTCAGTTCGGCTTGCGTGTAAATGTAACGTGATTGTGAATGTCCGTATGTTTCTCACACAATCACAACTCAGCACGAAATTGAAGGTAGCAGAACGCTGATATTAGGTTTCCTTCACAAAAACATAACTGACCAGAATCATCTTCACAATATTTTGAGCCAAATTACAACCTTAACTTAATATTTGACGGCCATCTTTGACTCAATTGGTGCGTTTTAGGGTAAATGAAGCAAGTCCCATGCAGTGAATACGTAAACTCAACGTAGTTGGCGTGTTACGTGCGTGCGCCTAATAATGCATGTACGCGCTGTTTGAAATTTTACTCCATAGATGTTAATGCATGCAACACGGAAAACGTGTGCGTTGTAGAGAGTGGCGTAGCGGGAGCGTGGCCATTGTAGAAGACATTTTATTTTTTATTAGGGGGGGGGGGGGGTTTAAAGTGCAGAGCGTAGCGAGCGGAGCTCAAATTGGTGTGGGGGTCTAGGGGTGAAGCCTCCGAAAGCTCAGTTTTTTTTAGCAGGCCAGGGGCAGCGGAGCGTCATTCAAAGTGCGTGTGTGGGGGGGGGGGGGGCACGAACAAAACAAAAAGGGGCACCTTCAAAGGGAAACCTCATACCGAAAATATACAATTTTTAGACATTGATATGCCTATATACCCCTCCGTTGTTATTAGTTTACTCTGTATGTTTATAGAAATAGATCAGTGCTATTACAATGATAAATATTCCGCTTGCGCTTTTAATATATATAGGCAGTCCCATCCTGCCTGGTTTGAAAAATAGTGTCGCTGGGTTGAAGGTGAAATGGTTCCCATTTAAAAAAAAACATGAAGTCATACTAATTACCGGCGAAGTAAAAAAAAAAAGTTTGAACAAGTTTATTGCTTGTTTTTATATATACTATAGTTTTGCTAAGGAGTGTAATGGTTTAATCCAACAAAACTTTAAAAACCTGTAAGGGGGGTCACTTCCGTCACATTCGCCCCTCTCGTTCACTATGCTCCCTCGTCCCTCACATTTCGTCCCCCCGGTCATGAAAAGAAATCGCCGCCCTGACTGAATGGAGTTTTTTTAGCCAGATTATAGCGATAAAAGTGTGTGATTTTTTAAATAAAATTAGGCTCTTACGGAAATGATTTCATGAAATCACAAACTGCCGACATGCTTGACGATGTCTTCTTGTTTTTACGCATTTCCTATTTTTACGCTTTTTTTTTTGCTGAATTAGGTTTGCTAAATCGCGCTTTCAGAATTTAATATTGTCCTGCATTTACCATTTATTTTTGCCGGGGCCTTGGTTGGTTTCTTTCTATTTCTTTATAACTAACTTTTTCAAAAATGTGGGAGGGGGGGGGGCGAGCCCTGCCGTAGCGCGTGCCCTGATAAGTATATCATTGAACGAGCAATGCTCTTATCAGATTTAGATTATCAGATCAGACACACACATATGAATAGAAGATACAAAAAGAATACGTTTCAAGTTTTCACAGAAGGCTCAATATTCCATCTTACTGTATATCCATAGAACAGGTCGCTTCAAATAAAATAAAAAATGAGAGGCCTTTAATATTGTAAGTATGCCTACAAGAAATGTGAAATAGGCCTAACGTATTTTTTTTTCACTTAAAAAAAAAAAAAATATATATATAGACCTATAAGTCGCTGATTTGCCACAGAATGGAAAGAAGGATATAATTATAGATGGGCGAGTAAATTCTGTACACTGATGTCAGTGATGCTTCTTTGTCGAATAGTTTAGTCGCCCCTCAAACATAAATGTTGAAGTAAATAAATAGAACAATATAGATGACGATGCCTCTTTTCTCATTTTAGACCCACCGCTAACATGGGCACCTGAACACCCACCTTGCAACTAGAAACATTCAATCTTTTACTCGATGAATCTTCAAATGCTCACCGACCTCATCAAAATACATCAAGGAGTCAAGTAACCATGGCAACGGATGATACAGAGGTACGTTTCGGTAGAGGATCGTTAGTATGTTTGACACTTATCGTGCCCACACAAGGTGACCTTTGACCTTGGTATTTATTATCACCCCCAACCCCTCGTCTCCCCCACATGTTGACCCCATTTCGTCTCATCCGACTGCCACTGTTTGTTATCTTTTCGTGCGATGATCAAAAATAATCTTTAGCATCTTCATATTCTCGAAACATTTGAAATCAGACAACAAATAAAAGGCCCTTCACAAAGATATATATATATATATATATATATATTTGCACAAGCAGGGCGAGGACTCTCTGGCTAGGGCGTTCCTCTAAAAGTTTGTGAAAAATTGCAAAAAATAAAGACAAACATTATTTTATATCGCGAAGAATCCCTGTCACATGTTACTAAATAATAATAATACATAAGATTTATAAGGCGCCAAATCCACTTGACAGTCAAATGCTTAAAGGTAATACAAAGTTTTGGGATGTATTATAAGCACTAGAAAATTTAGCCCCTAAAACACTTCTGCTTTCGAGATAAATTGAATATAAAAATTTACCGGTGCTCCCAGTAAATTTTGAAGAATTTCAAAAAGCGCCTACAGCCGTACAAAATGGTAGCTACGACCATGAAAATCTCAGAATATGTAGTTGTGTTATATAATTACCAAACGGGAATAAGCTAATCGGTCGATTTTAATCGAGAAACATTGTTTTATTAATATCTTGACCTTGAGAGGGATCTATACAACATAAAGAGTTTATTATATTATTTTCATAACTTTAGACTCGATTTCAACCGCGACAACGATCACTGAATATTGTAGGATCGCATATGCTTCCAATATGTTCATTTGAACCAAATTCATGACTTCATACCAAAACTTTGTAATACCTTTAAGGCGCAGCTTGTGCAAAAGATGGAATACATGATACATATATACAAAGTGCAATAGGAAAGGTACAGACATGAAAGGTGATGATTAAAAAAAAAACCTCAATTTAAAAATGTTCATGGCCTAGAATTATATACTCGTCCCAATCCTTCCTTAGTCGAGAAAAGGGAGAGAGAGAGAGAGAGAGAGAGAGAGAGAGAGAGGGGGAGAGATTGGGGGGGGGGGGGGGTAGAGTCACTGTGAATTCTCGATTATGTGGTAAATACGCTTTATATCTTTAAAGGTAAAGACCAGTTATGGTCATGCGATTGCATTGTGAAAGAAACGTTGTGGAATCGATCAGAAAAGGTTGATCATCTAGCATCTAGCATCTGCAAGGTTCTGGAATCATCAAAATGATAAGAAATTTGGCCCATTCTTCGTAAAGTTACAAGCACTATACACAGAAAGATGTATATGGGACTACCCTATATCTCTCACAGACCATGAGAGAAACAAGTTTACCAAATATATGAATTAGTAGGCGGTTTCCCGGCAAATTTTTTATCATCATGTATTAGTCAAAACATATTCTTTCACATGATTGGTAATGAGAGCTTCCATTTCATTTTTTGAAATTGGGGCGTTTCCAATACTGGTCTTTACCTTTAAACATGATTAATATCACTTGATGAATTAGCAATTTCTTCTAAATTCTAAGCTGCAGGCAAAACTTTATTCCTAATAAAAAAATGAATAATAAATAAATCAAAGAGGAAAAATTATTACAAAAATGGATTATCAAGTAAACAAGACTCGGGATTTAAGTATTACACTCTAAAAACTGAAATGTTAAATCACCATTTAAAAGGGCCGAGGAGTGACCACTCTTTCAAAATGGTAGATTAACACTTTGAACATGCTGGATCCAACATTATAAAGGTTGAATCCACCATGTTAAAAGTATCAATCTGACATTTTGAAAGAGTGGTCACTCATCGGCCCTTTTAAATGGTGATTTAACATTTCAGTTTTTAGGGTGTACCTTTTAATTTTTGATTTTGAATAAAAAAAAAAAAATCACTTCTGTAATTTCTTTTATTCAATGGATTTCAAATATTTCTACATGTGATCATTATTTTGGACCCTGTTATATACAAAAGCAAAAGTGATATTCTTATCATTTATACTTTAGAATGTCTGTATATGACCTTTAAAAATCCCAGTCCCAGACAAGTGACGATAACTGTTGAGGTCACGTTCGGGGTCACCTCGATGTCCCCCTTCCATCCCCGGACGATATCAGAAATTGGAACAATTACAGGCGATGATGACAAGTGCAGGTGAGGTGATTAAGAAACAACGGGCTTCTTGTCATATCTGGTCGGAGCGAGGAAAAAGAAGACATGATTTTCAGAACATACTGCCTCTCTCTATAAATCGTCTCCGTGACATGGTTGGATTTGACAGAAGGCTGCGACTCCTGCGAGCATTCGAATAATAAAAATCCTTTGAATATCACACATGTCCTATCTACATGTTTTGCTTTCAATACTTTTCTCTTGGTAACAAAATGGAAGTTTGTCGATGGACATGGCTAATATTATTTTATCTAGATGTACCTAGCATGATGAAATAAATCAAAATAAGTTATTTGAAGAGATAAAATCATGAACTCCAATGCCTCATTAGAATTTTCTAATTTAATTTATTTGTTGTTGTTTTTTTGAAAGATTTTTGTTTTAAAATCGTCATACAAACAATGAATTCGACATAATTATAAAATGTTATGATGATACAAAACGAAAACTAAAGTTTAACAATAATTTTTATTTTCATAAGGATTTTCAAAGAGTTGAAAGACAACGTGTTGTGAACCTGTGAACATGATGGATATATCATTAATACATTCGAAGGGGGTATGTACCGCATTCATGAAAAATCAACATTAAAGGGAATGTTAGAAGAATATTGGACAACATAATTATTTGTACGCGATTCTCTCTATCTATACCTTTCTAGCCAGGGGATGTTTCATACGGGTTTCATAAAGCTGTTCGTAAAGTTACGCATGACTTTACGAACGACTTGTATATGAAAAGCCAAATGGGATGCTCAATCATTATTGATTATTATTTATTAAGTTGAACTGTGCAGATGTAGATTAGCATTCTTATTATAACAAACATTTTTAATGCAAAGTATATTTTTTGCCATAATTTAATTGAGGTTATTGAAAATTTCAGAAAAAAACTTTGGGCATCCTATCATATACAAGTCGTTCATAAAGTCATGCGTAACTTTACGAACTCTTTATGAAACACCCCCGGCCTTAATTGATCTCTCCTATTTTATGTATCATCTCTCTCTTACTTTTATTCCTCTTCTCCGCCCTGTCCCTACATTCTCGAAGCAGTCTCTTATCCGTTTATTTCCTTATTATATCTGAT